CCCTGTATGTGTTCAGTACCGTGCATCTGTATTTAATACAGTCGACCCAGAAATACGATGCTGAGAACTTTTTTCTTATGACAACTGTGGTACCTTTGAGGATGCATTGGCCTACTCCGACTATGGTCCCAGCACTGTGATATAAGGGCAAAGGGTCGTAAATAATGTCATTTTCGCTGATAACAGCCATGTAACGGATGCCCAAAGCCATAAATATGAACCTTGTATTAGGTATAACTGCAGCTTTGGGCAACCCTGTAGTACCCGAAGTAAAAATAAATAAAAGTTTGTCTCTGGGTCGGCCTTTTGCAATATCGGACGTCAATGGTCCATTTCCTTCCTTTTCCACTTCTTTTGCCAAATCGACAGAGTTTGGCAACAATTCGCCGCCATTTTTCGCAAATTGATAAAGCCTAATTTTGAGGATTTTACCCGAAATATCGCTGATTGCTAAAAATATTTACATTAATTTTTTGTAAAACAAGCACTAAAATTGATTTTTTATTGCAAAATTGTACACACTTTACGGATTATCTTGCCAAGTAATGACATACGAGTCTGATAAAGTACTACTTTACGGACTATTTTCTTTACTTTTCGGGAGATTTAATAGAAAATATTTTTCACACCTTTGGCAAAGTCTCAGAATTTGTCAACTTTCAATTAATGACAAATATGAGTCCGGTAAAGTGCTACTTTACGGACGATTTTAAAAAAGGTGATTTTTTGTTACCTTTGGCAAAATCAGATCCATAAATCACAGCCTTGGCATCCGCCACTTGGATGGAATGTGCCAACGGATCGGCAACGAGATTACTGTTAATCAGGGCCGTAACAACCCCAATTTTGGCCAAGCCGAGCCAAATTGTCACATATTCAGGTCGAGATTCGAGCACTAGGGCTACCGCGTCGCCCCTTTTGAAGCCTTGGTTTTTGAAAAAGTTGCCGATTTTGTTGCTATACTTGTCCACCTAAATATTTGAATTAAGTCTTGGTTTGTTTTTGTTTTGTTTAGTTACGTCTTCAAAAGTCCAAATTTCGTTTTCGAAATAGAAAGCGACTTTCTGGGGGTGTTTTGAGGCGAGTTTTGTGAAAATTTTTGCAACGGTTTGCTGGGTTTTTTCGTATCGCCAGAGTTGGAAGTTTAAAGTGGAGAATCTGAGGCCGGCCCTGGAATTTTTCAATTATTTAAAATTATATTTTTTAAATTTTCATTTTGAACTAAAATAAAATTCAATCAGGAATGGAAACATGAAATATTTCGTGGCGCATTTTTCAGATATGCAATGCATAATGCATCAACTTTCACAGAATGATTAAATCTCTTTTGATAATTTTGCTATTTCAAACATTTCCAATAGATGAAAAAATATTACGTTTTAAATTTTACTATAAACTTTGTTCTTTTAATAAACCTGATTATCGCACGGGTCGTCGAGTCAAAACACAGATAAATCATAGATACAACAACAAAACAAAACAATGACTTGTCCAAATAATCATAATCTTTTAATTTAAATTTGATTTGACTTCCTAAATTTGCATTTAAATGTGAAATTAATTAAAGACATTGTAAACACTAATGACATCGAAAGTTTGAATATTTATAGCACGTCAAACACGTGTTTTATGCAAACGAGTTTGTTTATTTGCAATTGATTCAATAAAAAAACTGGTTTATGACTTACCGAACATCACGTCCTAGAGTTTTGTAAATAATATAAAACCAACGGTATCTCCGATTTGTTAAAAGAAAAATTGACAACAAAATCACAAACACTGCTGTAAAAATCTGAAATGAAAATTACAAAAAAGAGTCTAATTTTTGAAAAAGTACCATTTTTGATCATAAGAAAATTGTAAACACATTGTATGTATGTACTTGAAGTGTATGAAAGGTTGAACTATACACTCGTTACTTGTCTTTGATACTCTGTGATGTAATAAAGTCGGTCATTGTCGGTCGCTTTCGAACGGTATATATAGAAACTGTCATGATTTATCGCTCGGTGCAAATATTTATTTGATAATGACAAGTCGTTAGAACAGTGGAAGATTACAAAAATGTCAACATTATTTGTTTGATTTAATTAAAAATCATTTGGTACGAAATAACGGCCCCATAGATGGAAAAAACCATCCCATAGTCAATCCTGAAAACACCAGTGGCTGAAAAATCAATTTTTCGGTACTTGACTTGTTCGATAATTAACCAGAGGTGTTGATTCTGCCCATTGGCCAAAATCTTATAACACAAAATTTGCGTTTTTTTACACTCACTCCGTATGCCATTACAGAGAATTACGAGGATTAAGCACAACACCTGAAATTTTTGCGTATTAAAAATCCTGAAACAATTGTTTCAGGACTACCGTATATGTGAAACAAGTCCAAATTTTTACGATTATATTTATTTGTTGCGCTGTCATGTGACACGAAACAACGAAAATTGTTAATAACAAATGGGTACCAAAAATCGTGTTGAAACAGTCGATTAGTTCAAGAAATTCGTTTTGGTTTTTTATTGCAGTTTTTAGTTCCAGTTTTTGATTCACTTGTGAAATTGCATTTTTGACGTTTAAGAGATAATTGTAAAGGGTTAGGAAAAACGAAAATATTGCGTATTTGCCAATAAAAATTATCAAATTTTCCCAAATTTTGACTAAATCTGGCAAAATAAAAACATGAAGAAGAATTATTTTCCAATTTGGTATAATTTGCACAATTGCGAGTTTGCAATTATTATAACTGAAAGTTGATACAATCATTCCAGTTATTACATACAAAGTCATAATTACATTAATTGAGATTTGTGCAATGTTAAAATCATTTGAGTTGAGAGAATAGAAGAGTAGAGCTACGATTAATGCGACTCGAAACAATATTTGACATTTTTTACTCTTATTTGGTTTGTTTTTGTGGAAAAATACAAAAATTTTATTGTAAACCTCAATAATCGGAAACATTTTATTGACTGAAACAAAGAACTTGATTATTGTCTTGGGAATTTGAACATTGAAACCATGACAAAACAATTATGTTAAAATATTGCCTAGTAAAAATTTAAACAACAAAAAGTACTCAAAAAATTACTACAATGAAAGGACGTTTCGTATTATTTAAGTGAACAATTTAGTAATGATGTAGTTAAAAATCGTACGATACGTAACTAAAATAAAATTTGTCGAAAGATGAAACCAATTGATTAATTTAAGTTTGAACTTTGTCCCTTGTTAACGTCGTGCAATTTTAACACTAGGCAATTTTAAACTATTATTCTTTCGCATGATGGCAGAGGAAGAGACATTCAAAGACGCAGTTTTGCAATTATTTTTTACACACACTGTATAACAATATAAATGATTGAAAAATGTAATTGTGCTTAAAGCGCACATAAGTTATGTATTTATTAAAAATTGATTTGCTTGTGTCAGGGGCGGATCCAGGAATGAATTTTGGGGGGGCTATCTAAAAAAATTTTAAATGATGAGGGTAGGTATTCAGTGAGCGGCAAAATTATAGAATAATCTTATTTATTAAAACTGAAAATATTTTGTTTTGGAAAAATGCTCGAACAGGTCAATTTTCTTTTTAACAAATACAAAATTTTTAACTTGATTTAAAATTGTATCTTTGTTTTTTATTGATATTATTTCACTTTTTGGATATTTTTTTTTTAAAACTTTATGTAATACATAATATTTTGGTGTTGCCACTTCGACAATTATCTATCGAATTCGCTAGAACAATAGGAGTTTCCTTTAAAAAAAAATGTCGCTGCCGTCATTACCCAAAAACCAAAAGGTGTAGAATTTTAAAACAAGTTGAAAATTGTGTATAAGGTGTTTTAGCGAGTTGGTAAAGTTCATTATTTAAAGAGATATAAACTTAATTTAATTAGATACCTAAGATGTGGCCCAAAGAAAATTACTACTAAATTAGTAAAAACTAAGGAAGTATCGAGAGATCAAGATAATTTGTCCTTGTATCCGAAAACGTATGTCCTGTGAAACGTCAAATAAAATGACAAGTGAAAAGGTAAAATCCCATGATCAAAAAGATAACTAAATTTATGATTTACCTTCAAAAAAGAACGGTCTTATTATTATACGTCGGCGACTAATTCCAGCCCATTTTGCCGTTTTCGATTTGTCATTTTATTTGACGTTTCACGTGTAGTTAGTTCAAAATTAAAAATTCGGGCAGTACCTATTTTTCTGTCACTTTAAAAAGTTCACTGTAAACTACCTTTTACTGTCATCATGACTGACATTTGACAATTAATTAATTTTTTTTTTGTTGTTAAATTTGTTAATTAAACAATTTGTCTGTCTTAGGAAATTTATTAAGATCTGCTGCCTACCCGTTATTTGCCACAAATCACTATTTTTGAAAGTAAATAAGTCAAAATGACATATATACGACAAGAGTAAAAAATGAGGTTATTAATATAAAGGTTGATTTAGAGTTTACATTATGAAAATGACAGTACGTTTTTATATTAAAATTTAAATATAAAAAATTGAAGCTTTTGGTGGCAAGTTTGGGGGGGCCCTGGCCCCCTGGGCCCCTCCCCTAGATCCGCCCATGGCTTGTGTCCTGTCACTGTTTTATTAGTTTTAATTCAAACACGCTGTATGATAATTTGTGTCAAAGTTAGGCAACTAAATATACACAAGTGTCATTTTGACGTGTGAATAACCTAAAAATTGACAAGTTGATTGAGGTTATGTCACTTTGAAAATGGAAATTCTTGAATTCAAAGATCTCAAAAGCGTCCCCGACATTATCCACCCTTACACGCCGGCCTTACGCAACAACAGCACCCCCATAATCATCGACAACGGTGAGCCCCCTTTGATTCCAACCCAAATCATTGTTTACGTGCAGGTTCGTACCAATGTCGGGCTGGTTGGGCCACCAGTAGCGAACCTCTCCTCATTTTCAAGAACCTCATAGCAAAACCACGCAAAGAACGTTCGAAAAAAGACACGGTGGAGTCGAATCAAGCCCCCCAGTTGCAAGTCGGTAATGACATAATCAACATCGAAGCGGTGCGTTTTCAATTAAAAACGCAATTTGATAGGAATGTAGTGACACATTTCGAGGCACAGGAGCATCTTTTTGATTACACTTTTGCTCATTTGGGGATCGATTCGGAAAATTCGGTCCCGCATCCTGTGGTTTTGACCGAAGCGGTTTTGAACCCCAATTCATCGAGACAGTGTAAAAAATCACTCGAGTTTGGTGAATTTTATTGTTGTTTTGGTTTTAGTAATGTCAGAATTGCTATTTGAGTGCTATTCAGTACCTGGGATTTCGTACGGAATTGATTGTCTTTTTTCGTATCATTTTAATGAAGTTAGACCACAGGAAAATGCTCTTATTGTCAATTTGGGGTACCATACGTGTCACGTGGTGCCAATTATTGACAGAAAAATGGTTTTTGAGAACACGAGACGCTTGAATACAGGGGGGTTTCATGTTATATCGTTTTTACACAGAATTCTACAGTTGAAGTACCCAGCCCATGCGACGTCGATTACTTTAAGTAGGGCCGAGGAATTGTTGCACAGTATTTGTGCTGTAGCTTTGGATTATCGCGAGGAATTGAATCGCTGGACTGACCCTTTATATTACGAGGAAAATATCAAAAGAATCCAGTTGCCATACAATGTGTCACTTGTTTCGTCAGCTCTCACTTGTAAGCAATTGTTTTATTTTTTGTCATTGCATCAGTGTTGCCAGTTCAAAAACATTAAATTCACCAGATCCGAGTTGAAAAATTCGCCAAATTTTCAGCAGATTACGATTTGTATAGCAATATCTTACGAAAAAAACGCAGTTTTTAGCTTAAAAATCCACTTAAATTTTTGAAAAAAACAAAAATGACATGCATTTTGGGATAATTCTGTGATTTTTCAACAAAATTTTGCAACAAAATAACTGCGTTTCTAGCTGAAAAACTTGCTAAAATGCTCGAGAAATGCAAAAATAATGTAATTCTAGACTTAATTTCTTGATTTTTTAGTTTGTTTTAGCGAAATCTAGTGAAAAACTTGAGATTTTAGTATAAAAACGCACTTAAAAGGATTTTCGGCCAAATTTTGGGGTTTCTCTTATTTTTGTCTTATTTTGCTCAAAAAACCAGTTAAATCGAGTGAAAGAAACAAAATAACATGAATATCAATTGTTTTCGTGATTTTTAAGCGTGTTTGGACAAGATTTTGCAAAATAAATGAGTCTCTGGTTCAAAAACGAAGTAAGTTGAGCGGAACAAGATAAAAATATATCAATTTCGATTTAATTTTGTAATTTTTTTGCTTGCTACAACAATATTTTTAGAATTTTTTTTTGTTTTTATCTCAAAAACCTGCTTAAACACTTGAAAAAGATAAAAATAACTCGAATTTGTTGAATTTTTGGATTGCTTTTAACGAAATTTTGCGAAATAAGTGTTTGTAGCTGAAAAAGTATTCGAAAAAAACAAAAATAAATTGTCATTTTCAAAACCTTGTAAGAAACACACAGAACGTTTCTTGAACGTTATTTGACGAAATAATAAAGAAAACATGGAAAATAATGGAAATAGTTTTTCTCATTTTTAAAAAATCACCAGATATTAAAGTTCGAGTAAATCAAATAGAATAAAATAATTTTTTTTTTTGTGATTTTTAAGAGTGTTTGAACCAGACTTTGCAAAATAAGTTTGTCTCTGGTTCAAAAACGGAGCAAAACAATCTAAAAATAATATTACTCTCAATTTAATTTTGTAATTTTTTAGCAATTTAAATGAAATTTTTCGATTTTTTGTCTTATTATCTCAAAAACGTGCTTAAACATCTAAAAACTGCAAAAAGTACACCATTTTTAGCCGGCCTTGTTAAAATTTTGGCTGGTTGTTAATGAAATTTTGTGTTTTTAGCTGAAAAAAAAAACAAATGTGCTAAATTACACGAAAAATGCAAAAATGACATCATTTTCGCGCCAATCAGTGATTTTTCGGCTTGTTTTTAACAAAATTTTGCAAAAAATTACATTTCTAGCTCAAAAATGTCCAAATTTGTTGACTTTTTGCTTTGTTCTAACAAAATTTTGCAGAAAACCTGAGATTTTGATAAAAAAAAAAGAAACGTTGGCGACCTAGTCTCTAGGCTTATTTTTTCTTAATTTTGCTCAAAAACCAGTTAAATTGAGAAAGCAAGATAACATCAATATCAATTCTTTTTAAGATTTTTAGGCGTGTTTAAACAAGATTTTGCAAATAAATTAGCTTCTGGTTCAAAAACGGA